TTTTTTTTTTTTGTAGGAGATTAACTTTTTAGGGAATGAGTCATTTAAATTCTTGAACCAAACGCTATATGAGTATTGAATATAGGAGAAAGGAGAAACGTATGCATGTTTCTCAAAGGCACTTTCTTTAAATTTCACCAGCAGATCTAAACACTATCCATAGGGGCCTATGGCAAATCTACTAAAAAAGGGGGGAATAAAAGGAAAAAAAAAAGAAAAGACAGGAAGGAGGTTTCTTTGTCTATTACTGCTGGCTTCAGTAGTGTTGGTTGCCTGCCTCTCTTTGAGACTGTGACGCTTCCTTAATGAAGGTGTGTGTTTAAATCACAGACAGGGCAAGTGCTTTCAGGTGAAGTTTCACTTTTTGTTGTGGCAGCGGTTCTGGACATGGTGCTGGAACAGAGGGTGAGTTCAGCACCTTCTCTTCAGATCGTATCTCTGCCCACAGCTCATCTCTTTTACATAGCAAGCCTTTGTTCACTAAAGAGTAGACCTGTGGTTGGCCTGTCCACCTACTGTCAGAGATCAAAGGTGACTGATAAGGAGTCCAAAGGTCAAAATAGATAGTGTGAGGTCAATCCAGCTTTAAGGAGAAAAGCCATTGTTTTGACATGCAAGCATCAAAAACTGAATTGCAGCCTGAGAGATGTTCAGTTCATCAGCTTTGGCCATTCACCTCCCATCAAAGAAAAATCACTAGCTGTTTCTGCGGTCAGCAGGAGCAGAAAAGAAAGAAAACTTTTTTAAAGGTATGATTTAATTAAATTATGTTGTATTGGAGATTTCCTTCCAGAAATGGTTTCTTTGTGAGTGTTGCTTTGCTTACTATGAGAATGCAGGTATTAAATTAAAAAACCAAAGGTACACCACAATTACTAGGGCCTTTTGTTGGGTTTTTTAATAGAAAGTCAATTAGATTAGATTCAGGTATTGCATATACTGACATTACCTTTTGGCCTATTAGGGTCCGATGGAGCATTAGGAAAGGCAAGTGATATTTGCATTATGATTAAGGCTAACACTTTAAATTGGCTTTTACTAAGTATTTGGCTAACTTCAGAATTGAGATACTACAAGTGTTTTCAGCCTGATTCAAAGTTTCCATTTTAGGAAATGTCCTTTAAGTTAGCAGTGGTCCTTACATATAGAGTTATTGAGAGACTGTAAGCTAAGCTATTGTCCTTATCCTCTAGTCTAGCAAAAGATTTTGTGCAGGACAGCCATATAATTTTCAGTGCCTGGTGCAAAGTGAAAAGGCAGGGCCTGTTGTTGTTCAGAAACAAGAATTTCAAGACAGCACCAGCAGAGCATTAAGCCAATTCTGGAACCCTTCAAGCACCAAACCCTGTACAGACCACAAGCGGATCCCTGACGGGGAGGTGAAGGTAAATAGATGGTGGATTTGATTAGAACTCTGCTACTTATTTACGTTATTCCTGAACCCCTGTTTTCTCTATTTTTTATCTTTCTATAAAATTTTTCTTGTTCTATCCTCTTGCCAAACTTGGAGACCCAGTAGGAAGAATTGGAAGTATGTATACTTAATTTTCTTAGTCCATGTGAGAACTTCTGCAAGAGCTGCTGTATTTTCTTGTGTTTGGCTGGTGTAGCAATTGAGATTAGAGTTTTGGTTTTAGGAAAGTGATTAATTTATTTAATTTAAAAATACATATACCACATTATAATTTTAAAAGCTCTTTCACAATTCATATAACATTTGATTCAAACAATTATGCTTTTGAAGCAGTTAATATTTTTTCCTCTCACCTTATAGATAAGAAAATTAGGCCTCAGAGAGGTTAAGAGACTTTCTCAAAGTCAGCCAGCTGGTAAGGGAAGTTCAAGCCCGTAACTTTTCTCACTATTTAATTCTGCCTTTATTGTTCTGCAAGATCAAAGGTAAGGTGGCAGAATATCTTGCTTTCTCAAGATCTACTTTATAAAATTTTTGCCAGTGTTCTGAGAATAACTGCTAGGTTATAATAAAAATGCAAGTTTTCACTTCTGTTATTTGCGGTAACCTTTGGAATAACTCTGTGTCGTAGTATTTCAGCATCATTTTAAAGGAACAAGACTGAGGTTCAAAGAGATTAAATGACTTGTTGAAGATGAAAGGGCAGTAACTGAAATCCAGGTCTTCTAACTTTGTATCCCATGCTTTTGTACTGCGCCTTATTTGCCCATAGGTAATTTCATTTCCCTACTTAGTAAATGTTCATTTATTTATTGGTCACCTACCATGTTCTAGGCACTAGGAATGCATCTGTGAACAAAAAAGACCAAGTCACAGCTCTTGGAACTTACATTACAGACTGTAAATAAATTACTGTAAATAAATAATTAGCTGATTAAATAACTCTCAAGAAAAGATAATGTAGGACAGAAAGAAAGCTGGGAGGGAGAGACTATTTTAGAGAAAATGGTCAGAAGACTGTTAAACTGTTACTTGAACCACAAACCAAAGTGTAGACATTTTATGTAAACGTATAAGTCAATTTTTAGATATATATAACAGATAATCTAAATAATATAAGGTCACTGCATTTATAGACACAATGACAATAGTTGAGTATTGTTAACTGTTACAAAAATTAGCCTTTGTAGTAACTGTTATACCTTAGAGTTAATCTCTTTTCTCATGTTGCGTGGATTATAAAATCAAGATCAGTAAAGCCCTAAATCTAGTCCTTTTCTTTCATGCTGAATCACTTACTGCATAAAGTAGTGTTTAATGTATTGGTGATCTTAGATTTCTCATACTGTTAGAAAATAAGTACTGTGATCAAGTGGCATGTTCTGGGTAGCTGTTGACATTTCTAGAGTATCCAACAGGTTCAGAGAAGTGTAAACTTAATTTGCTGGTCAGATTTAATTTTAATGAATTTCAAAATCTTATCCAAAATCCTTTATTATGCTAAAATCCTGTTATGTCTAGTACTGTTGGGCTTCAGTAAGTCAACTCTTACTTAATGCTTGGGAATCTTTGTAATATAGAATTTTTTTTTTTTTTTTTTGAGTCAGTCTCACTCTGTCACCCAAGCTGCAGTGTAATGGTACAGTCTCCGCTCACTGCCACCTCTACCTCCTGGGTTCAAGCAATTCTCCTGCCTTAGCCCCCTTAGTAGCTGGGTCTACAGGTGTGTGCCACCACACCTGGCTAATTTTTGTATTTTTAGTGGAGAGAGGGTTTCACCATGTTGGCCATGCTGGTCTCAAACTCCTGATCTCATGATCTGCCCGCCTCGGCCTCCCAAAGTGCTGGAATTACAGGCATGAGCCAACATACCTGACATTTTTCTTTTCTTTCTTTCTTTCTTTTTTTTTTTTTTTTTTTTTGAGGCACTAACTCCTGACCTCAAGTTATCTGCCTGCCTTGGCCTCCCAAAGTGCTGGGATTACAGGCGTGAGCCACCTCGCCCAGCCAATTTTTTTTTTTTTATTTTATTTATTTATTTTTTTGAGATGGAGTCTTGCTCTGTCACCCAGGCTGGAGTGCAGTGACACAGTCTCAGCTCACTGCAACCTCTGCCTCCCAGGTTCAAGCAATTCCCCTGTCTCAGCCTCCTGCATAGCTGGGATTACAGGCGTTCACCACCATGCCCAGCTAATTTGTGTATTTTTTGTAGAGACAGGGTTTCACCCTGTTTGGCAGGCTGGTCTTGAATTCCTGACCTCAGGTGATCTGCCCGCCTCAGCCTCCCAAAGTGCTGGGATTACAGGCATCAGACACTGCACCTGGCCCTGTAGTGTGCTTTAAAATGAGAGTCCACAGTATTAACAGAAGAACTGGTGAAACTCCCATTCATTGTGTTCCCTGTGGTTTCAAAATTAAGGCCAAGCGTAAGTCATTCACTATTTGCCTCTTGTTAAAGGTGAGCTGTTATCTGCTAAAAAGTGAGGGGTAATAGTGGGCAGGCTATTAATTCTCACCTACTCATAATTTCTTTAGGGCATTTACCAGGTTCCTTTAGTCTAGAGTTTTGGACCAAGAAATTCATGAATACACTGAAATAATATGAAAATCTGTGCCTATATAGAAGTAGAGCATTAATTTTTTTCTGGAGGAAAAGGCCATAGCTTTCATCAGATTCTTCTCAAAGGAATCTAATGATCTTCCCCTAGCATCCCCCCACCTCCAGTTATGAACCTTGAATAGACTGCTTTAGGTATTTGATTTAGAAATCCAAGTAAACTCTTTTTAAGCGTTTTGAACTTACCTATGAGATTTGTTTATCCAGTTTTAAACAATCACTCATGATTTCCCCAGGCTGAAAGAATTTGAGCTAATGTTTTCTCTCTATTGAGAAGGGTTATGCAGCCTTTTGAATACCCTCTCCTTCTTAATAATCTTTGAGTAGATATTCCAAGAATTGTATTTGCTTAAAGAAAATTGGAATATTATAATAAAGTCTGAATGTTTGTGTTTCTCAGCACAACCTATCTGGTAATAAAATGAAGTGATATTAGGGTAAAATATTTCTAGTGCTTCAACTATTCCAGGGAGGCAAAAAGATTTAAGGTTGTTACTCTCAAGAAAAAATTGAGAGGCAGTAGGAGAGTTTCTAATTGCTTTTAATATAGGTACCTATTGAATTATTATAAAGAGATTGTGAGGAGGTTTGGGGATGAAGACCACTGCCCTAGGCTTAGATATTTAGTGGAATGAATGTGCTATTTAACTGTTTGTGCACTGAGGGCCAAGAATTCAACCCATAAAGTCATTCTTTGCTACTAAGACTGATTTCTGCAGCCTGTCATGCATAGTTATGAATTTTTGGAAGTGTGCCATTTTTGCCTCCTTGCCATTTGTCTATTTGTGCTGGGAAAAATTTCTGGGCTTTCTTTTATCTCTTAGAAATTAAATACCCTAGTGAAACCCCGTTTCTCCTAAAGGTATAAAAAAATTAGCTGGGCTTGGTGGCTTGCGCCTGTAATCCCAGCTACTCGGGAGCTGAGGCAGGAGAATCGCTTGAACCCAGGAGGCGGAGGTTGCAGTGAACCAAGATGCACCATTGCACTCCAGCCTGGGCAACAGAGCAAGGCTCCATCTCAAAAAAAAAAACAAGAAAGAAAGAAATTAAACACCCTATGAAGAAGAAATTTATATATCTTAGAATTTTTTCTTCCAAAGGGATTATTTCAGCTTTTCAGTATCAATTGAGAATATTTAGGTAGACATTTTTCATTAGTGTTTTTAATACAGAAGAAACAATATGAGATTTTTCAAAATCCATCCTTTTTAAAGTATTGAACTGTGAATTATTTATACAATTTTTGGTTTAGAAGTAAATATTGGAAAATGAATACCTAAATGTATATAAGCTGTATGTTAAGTTTCTGTTTGGTAACTATTATTTAAATATGAAGTAGAAGGTAAGACATTCAAAATATTACCTTTTTAGCATTAACTGCTGATTTGAAAAAAAAATGTACAACAGATTCCATAATCCTCTTCAGTGACACTAGAAAAACTTTGGGGAAACGTCTAACATCTGCTTAACTTTCCTGTGGTAGACATTTCATAATTGCAACATGCAGTTTCTTTGACTGAAGATAAACATTTCTATTTGTTATACTTACATTTCAGAAGTATGTTTACTGCATTCTTTCAATGTATTTCAGTTTTTTTCCCTGACAAGTTGAGGAGGTTCCAAAAATATCTGGTTGTTACTGGGGTTTTCTTAGCTTCCTCTTAGGGGCAACTGTTGTGCCTGACTCACTTCAACACAATCTTTATTAGAAAATCTATGTTCACAAGATTAGCTTTTGTTTTGTTTTTTATTTGTTTGCTTGTTTTTGATAAATCTATAAGTGAGCTCGTCCCCATTTTGTTCTTCCTTTGCTGAATGCTGGATCCAGGAAACTGTCAACTAGAGGACTGCTGGAAGACTCTCTCCAGCTAGATCTTAGTGTTATTGATATAACAATGATTCCCAGGTTGAAAACCTATTTTTTCCAGTTCTCAGGAGACTAAACTGCTAAACGTTTTACCCCATTGACCTGGGCAGCTCTTGTCTCTGGCTAAGGTGTGGCAAGCAGTCCTGGCAAGTGAGTTACCTGAAAGATATTTGCTTTAGGCATGACTGTACCAGAGTTATGTGTTATAGAGATTGCTCAGTGCATATTAGAAATTATACATTTATCGGCCGGGCGCAGTGGCTCACGCCTATAATCCCAGCACTTTGGGAGGCCGAGGCGGGTGGATCACGAGGTCAAGAGATCGAGACCATCCTGGTCAACATGGTGAAACCCCGTCTCTACTAAAACTACAAAAAATTAGCTGGGCATGGTGTCGCGTGCCTGTAATCCCAGCTACTCAGGAGGCTGAGGCAGGAGAATTGCCTGAACCCAGGAGGCGGAGGTTGCGGTTAGTCGATATCGCGCCATTGCACTCCAGCCTGGGTAACAAGAGCAAAACTCTGTCTCGAAAAAAAAAAAAAAAGAAAGAAATTATACATTTATCTATTCAGGATGAAATAAAATTGATCATTGGTTTTTCTGTTGGTTTCTAAGGAACACATCAATACAGTTTTTATGTTAGTGTCTTTCCACCTCAACTGAGGTAATGACTCCACTGTTCTGAGCCTAAGCCTGAGTCTCCTTCTATCTTTAATGGGTGTGCATACCTTGCCTAAATATAGTGAGGTGTGAACTTGGCTGATACATAGAGAGAGACAGTAAAATGACCTTAGCCGGCCTCCATATCTACTGTTAGAATTATATTTAAAGAATAGGAATGCTGTTTTCGTTCTGCTTATAGGCTGAAATACTGTTTCCAGCTGCTCTGTTTCTTTAGGTAAAAAGTTTTTGCAGTAGACCAAAAAATTATTTTAAAAGCTGTAGTGAATTACTTCAGAAAGTAGGCATAAGTTAATTCCACATGAAAACATGTCTGAAGGGTGGTTTCTGTTTCTATTTCATTGTCCAGAATTTAACATTTATTCCAAATGTGAAAAGTAAAAGCTTTTCATGTACCTTGTGTTCTTTAGAATAATAATTTGCATTTATATTATCCTGGTGCTTGCTACTTTTTAGAACACTCCTGCAAACTTTTGCCTACTAAGAAGAAAGATAATATTTTATCCCCAGGTATGTAAGACAAGGTAGATATCATTAATTTAGTTTTACAAATGAAGAAACTCAGATATAGAGAGGTAAAATTACTTTTCTAGGTGATTAAGTGAATCAGGAATACAGCCAATGCAGGAGATATCACTTCACCACACTTTAGCTCAGGCGTCTGTCTTTTACCCTCTTGTGTGAGAGTAAAATCACCCAAGAAGGCTCTCTTTTATGAGAATTTCTGTGGAAGAAATTCTCCTTCCCATCCCTTTCTTTTTTAATTGACCAACACTGGGGTTGTTCAGTGAGGGGGTTGGAGGATTCTATTTGCAGAAAAATTTTCCAGTGGAAGCAAGAATCCAGTGAACGAACAAATTAATCATTTGATTACTAAATAAGGTTTAGTACCCTATGGGGTCTGAACAGTCACACTTGTAGAAAAGCCCAGCCCATTGTGACATAACCTTTTTTTTTTTTTTTTTTTTCTCGAGAAGGAGTTTTGCTCTGTCACCCAGGCTGGAGTGCAATGGTGCAATCTCGGCTCACTGCAACCTCCACCTCCCAGGTTCAAGCGATTCTTCTGCCTCAGCCTCCTGAGTAGCTGGGATTACAGGCTTGCACCACCAAGCCCAGCTAACTTTTTTTTTTTTTTTTTTTTTTTTTTTTTTTTTTTTTAGAGACGGGGTTTCACCATGTTGGCCAGGCTGGTCTTGAACTCCTGACCTCATGATCCTCCTGCCTTGGCCTCTCAAAGTGCTGGGCTTACAGGTGTGAGCTACTGTGCCCAGCGTGGCATAACCTTTAGAGGCATTCTTTAAGAATTACTTCTTCTGCCGGGTGCAGTGGCTCACGCCTGTAATCCCAGCACTTTGGGAGGCCCAGGCAGGTGGATCACGAGGTCAAGAGATCGAGACCATCCTGGTCAACATGGTGAACCCCCGTCTCTACTAAAAATATCAAAAATTAGCTGGGCATGGTGGCGCGTGCCTGTAATCCCATCTACTCAGGAGGCTGAGGCAGGAGAATTGCTTGAACCCAGGAGGTGGAGGTTGCGGTGAGCCGAGATCGCGCCATTGCACTCCAGCCTGGGTAACGAGCGAAACTCCGTCTCAAAAAAAAAAAAAATTACTTCTGCTATGAAAAGCAGAAGTATTTTTGCTTATGTAATGCTGTAGAAACATGATGATCTTATGTTTAATAGAGTGCTTTTAAGGTACCCAGTGATAATCTCCCAAAATAATTAACTTTAAGAATTGATAATATGAGGAAATGAGAGCTGGATTGTCTTACCCCATATTATTTAATTAATTAGTGACAGAACAAGAACTCCAGGTCACCTATCAATTCCATGTTTTTCCTGTCCACCTTTAAATGTTTCCCTGAACAGGTGAGATACTACCCTTATCTTGTGTAAATGGAGAAAATGCCTAAAATGCTAAAACTCACTCAAGTGAAATGTGATTAGCAAATCCTGCTCAGTGGCATCATAGCCAGCCAAGTGTGTACCTACTGTTTACTGCCTCTACCAAGTCAATGAAAACATGATCTGAGAACTGTAAGTCCATTTATGGAAAGGTTTGATTTAGAGAGGTTTTGAAGTTGCAGTGACGAGCCCCTTTTCAAATGGCTGTATTCTGAATGTAACAGTCACCTTATTATATTTTTCATCATATTTTATTTTCATATCTTTTTAAAATCTTAAAAAACATTTTGTGGGTACATAGTAGGTATATATATATATGAGGTATAAGAGGTATTTTGATACAGGTATGCAATGTGTAATAATCACATTAGGCTGGGTGCAGCAGCTCATGCCTGATTCCAGCACTTTGGGAGGCTGAGGCAGGCAGATCACTTGAGCCCAGCCTGGGCAATGTGGTGAAACACTATCTCTACAAAAAATACCAAAAACATTAGCCAAGTGTGGTGGCACACATCTGTAGTCCCAGTTATGTGGGAGACTGAAGTGAGATGATTACTGAGCCCTGGAGGTCAAGGCTACAGTGAGCCATGATCATGCCACTGTACTCCAGCCTGCGTGACAGAGTAAGACCTTGCCTCAAAAAAAAAAAAAAAAAAAAAAAATTTTACATCAGAGTAAATAGAGTATCTGTCACCTCCAGCATTTTCCCTTTCTTTGTGTTACAAAATTTTTTTTTTTTTTGAGACAGGGTCTTGCTTTGTCACCCAAGCTGGAGTAAACACAGCACACTGCAGCCTCAATCTCCTAGGTTCAAGCAATCCTCCTGCCTCAGCCTCCCAAGTAGCTGGAACCATAGGCATATGCTACCACACTCGACTAACTTTTTGTGTTTTTAGTAGAGATGGGCTTTTACCATGTTACCCAGACTGGTCTGGAACTCCTGAGCTCAAGCCCTCTGCCCACCTTGGTCTTGCCCAAAGTGCTGGGATAACAGTTGTCAGCCACTGTGCCCGGCCTCTTACTTATTTTAAATGTACAATAAATTATTGTTGACTTTAGTCACCCTGTTGTGCTATCAAATACTAGATCTTCTTTGTTCTAACTATATTTTTGTACCCATTAACCATCCCCACCTCTTCTCCACACCTACTAACCTTGCCTGTCTTTGGTAACCATCATTCTACTCCCTATCTCCGTAAGTTCAATTGTTTTAATTTTTAGCTCCCACAAATAAGTGAGAATATGTGAAGTTTGTCTTTCTGTACCTAGCTTATTTCACTTGCCATAATGACCTCCAGTCCATCCATGTTGTTGCAAAAGACAGGATCTCATTCTTTTTATGGCTGAATAGTAGTACTCCATTGTATAAATGTACCACATTTTCTTTATTCATTCATCTATTGATAGACACAAGTTACTTCCAAATCTTGGCTATTGTGAATAGAGCTGCAATGAATATGGAAATACAGATATCTCTTTATATACTGATTTCCTTTCTTTTGGGTGTATGCCCAGCAATGGGATTGGTGGATCAGATGGTAGTTCTGTTTAGTTTTTTGAGAAACTTCTAAACTGTTCTCCACAGTGGTTGTACTAATTTACATACCTGCCAACAGCGTATGAGGGTTCCCTTTTCTCCACATCCTCACCAGCATTTATTATAGCCTGTCTTCTGGATTAAAGCCATTTCAACTGGGATAAGATTATATCTTATTGTAGTTTTGGTTTGCATTTCTCTGATGATCAGTCATGTTGAGTGCCTTTTTTCATATATCTGTTTGCCATTTGTATGTTGTCTTTTGAGAAATGTCTATTCAGACCCTTTGCCCATTTTAAAATCAGATTATTAGATTTTTTTCTCTAGAGAGTTGTTTGAGCTTCTTATATTAATCTGGCTAGCAATCCCTTGTCAGATGGGTAGTTTATAGATTTTTTTTTTTTTTTTTTTTTTTTTGAGACGGAGTCTTGCTCTGTTGCCAGGCTGGAGTACAGTGGCGCGATGTCGCCTCACTGCAACCTCCATCTTCCAGGTTCAAGCAATTCTACTGCCTCAGCCTCCCCAGTACTGGGACTACAGGCTCGTGCCACCACACCCAGCTAATTTTTGCATTTTTAGTAGAGATGGGGTTTTGCCATGTTGGCCAGGATCTCCTGACCTTGTCATCCACCTGCCTCGGCCTCCCAAAGTGTTGGGATTACAGGCAGGAGCCATCATGCCCAGCCTGTTTATAGATATTTTTTCCAGTTCTGTGTGTTGTCTCTTTACTTTGTTGTTTCCTTTGCTGTGCAGAAGCTTTTTAACTTGACATGATACTGTTTGTCCATTTTTGCTTAGGTTATCTGTGTTTTGGGGGTATTAATCAAGAAGTCTTTGCCCAGTTCAATGTCCTGGAGAGTTTCCCCAGTGTTTTCTTGGCGTGGTTTCATAGTTTGAGGTCTTAGATTTAAGTATTTCTCTTTTGATTTGACTTTGTATATGGTGAGTAATGGAGGCTAGTTTCACTCTTCTGCATATGGACATCCAGTATTTCCGATATCATTTATTGAAGAGACTGTCCTTTCCCCAATGGATGTTCTTGACACTTTTGTTGAAAATGAGTTCACTGTGGATACATGGATTTGTTTCTGAATTCTCTGTTGTATCACATTGGTGTATGTGTATCTTTTTATGCCATTATCATGCTGTTTTGGTTACTGTAGTTCTGTAATATAATTTGAAGTCAGATAATGTGATTTCTCCAGTTTTGTACCTTTTGCTTAGGATGGTTTTGGCTGTTCTGGGTATGTTGTGGTTCCATATAAATTTTAGAATTCTTTTTTTATTTCTATGAAGAATGCCATTGGTATTTTGATAGGGAGTACATTGAACCTCTAGATTGCTTTGGTAGTATAGACATTTTCACAATATTGATTCTTTTAATTCATGACCATGGAATATCTTTTCATTTTTTGGTGTCCTCTTCAATTTCTTTCACCTGTGTTTTATAGTTTTCGTTATAGAGATTGTTCACTTCTTTGGTTAATTCCGAGGTATTAAATTTTATGTGTGACTATTGTAAATGGGATTACTTTTTAAATTACTTTTTCAGATTGTTTGCTGTTGGGATATAGAAATGCTACTGATTTTTGTATGCTGATTTTATATCTCGCAATTTTACTGAATTCGTTTATCAGTTCTAATAGTTTTTTGGTGGAGTCTTTCGGTTTTTTCTAATATAAGATTATATCATCTGGCTGGGCACAGTGGCTCATGCCTGTAATCCCAGAACTTTGGGAGGCTGGGGTGAGTGAATCACATAAGGCTAGAAGTTCGAGACCACACTCAGCTAATTTTTGTATTTTTAGTAGAGAAGGGGTTTCATGATGTTGGCCAGGCAAGTCTCAAACTCCTGGCCTCTTGTGATCTGCGCACCTTGGCCTCCCGAAGTGCTGGGATTTCAGGTGTGAACAATCGTGCCCAGCCTGCAAACAAGGATAATTTGACTTACTTCTTTCCGATTTGGATGCCCTTTGTTTCTTTTCTTGTCTGATTGCCCTGGCTGGGACTTCTAGCACTGTGTTGAATAACAGTGGTAAAAGTGGGCATGCTTGTCATGTTCTAGATCTTAGAGGAAGGGTTTTCAGTTTTACCTCATTCAGTGACATAGTAGCTGTGGGTTCTAACATCTTTTTAAGTGTTACAATCCCATTTATAGAAGAGAGGTAGGAAGTAAAGTCAATCACCTATAAAACATGACACCTTTTCTGTGGTTAAAATGTATATTGGATCAAATCTTATTCTCTGGACTTCACCAGTTTTTTCCTTGGGATAGCCTGTGGTTCATCTTTAATATAAATTCTCTTTTTATTCTCCAGCAGCTATGTTTTATACAACTATTGATTTTAGAAGTGGGGAAATTCAAGTTCCTGAATACTGCCTTCTCATAGATATTCGTTAACAATGAATTACTTGGCCGGGCGAGGTAGCTCATGCCTATAATCCCAGCACTTTGGGAGGCTGAGGCGGGCAGATCATGAGGTCAAGAGATCAAGACCATCCTGGCCTACATGGTGAAACCCCATCTCTACTAAAAAATACAAAAATTAGCTGGGCGTGGTGGCGCGCGCCTGTGGTCCACAGCTGCTTGGGAGGCTGAGGCAGGAGCATTGCTTGAACCCAGGAGGCAGAGGTTGCAGGTTGCAGTGAGCCCAGCTTGCGCCACCGCCCTCCAGCCTGGCACCTGGTGACAGAGCGAGACTCTGTCTCAAATAATAATAATAATAATAATAAATTACTTAATTGAGCTGAGAGTCAAAGAAATTTATCATTACCTGCTTGCCAGTTCTTCACTAATATCCTTTTTTTTAAAGAAAGAAAGAAAGAGAAAGAATAATAATAAAAAAAAAAGAATGAAGGAGAGGAAGAAAGAAGAAGAGGAAGGGGGCGAGAGAACGGGGGTGTTGCTTTATTGCCCAGGCTAGAATGCAGTCTAAAAATGGGTATGCCTATAATTGTGCTTAATAATGGAGACATGAAAAAATAAGGGAAGAAAATAACAAACAAGCAGCCAACCAATATTTCATTTAAACCTGTAAGTAGGTGTGATGTGGTACTGATAAGAGTGTGTATTTTGTGTATTTAAAGTGGAGAGTTCTATCAATGTTAATTAAGTTTACTTGTTCCGGATCTGAGTTCAAGTCCTGGATATCGTTGTTAATTTTCTGTCTCATTGATCTGTCTAATATTGATGTTGAAGTCTCCCACTATTATTGTGTGGGAGTCTAAGTCTCTTTATTATAAGTCTTATATATCTGGGTATTCCTGTATTGGGTGCATATATATTTAGGATCTTTAGCTCTTCTTGTTGTATAATAATATCCTATTTTTTTATTATACAAATATCCTTTGTATAATAATATCCTATTATAATGTAATACAGATGAATTTGTAAAATTCACTTGTCTTCTTTTGATCAAAGCTGGCTTCAGATTTCTGATTCATCTTTTCCTTGTTACTGTGTTCAGGAAACTGAGCTTTCTTTGTCTGTTATTGGTTTAAAATGGTAGTTCCAGAACTTATCTGCATTATTGTTCATTTGACTAGAGCCCATCAGTATATTGTCATATCCATTGAATGGGGGATAAGGAAGGAGGGAAGTCCTTTGTGTAAAAGCATTCTTTTCAGCTGTTCCTCCCTAATGCTGTAAGTTTGGTGCCTGGCAGGAAATGATACAGACATGTGTGATAACGCAGTGACATGAGGAAGAATTGCCTGTAAGCTTCCCTGGCTTGTCCAGGATGATTGGCTGGCAGCTGGTAGATAGGTTAAGGGAGATTTGATATCTAAATCCAAGGATTCACAAGTATACCTTAAGAGATGATTGAGATGATGGAAAAAACCTATTTTGAGAAAAAACCTATTTGGGTAAAGGCAGATGGTATGAAAGGGAATAGCCATGTAAATATAGACTTCTTTTTTGACCCTACTGGGTGACTCTTAAAGTCTTGCAATTTTTTAAAGGCAAGGACCTGTCAGAAGAATCAAGAACTTCAAAGAAAAACATTCTTTATGAATGCAAGGGGTTTTCACATATCAAAACATTTCTCCGGTTTTTCTTATAATTTGAATTTCTTCAGGGAGTAAGTTTACCATTACACTAAAAAATAAACTAGACAAATAACCCCCATGGTATCTATCTTCTCTTTATTCTTATTAGCTCAGATCAGACTACCCTTGTTTCTTGCCTGGAATACCAAAGTGACATCTATCTCCCTTTTTTAAGTTTCACCCCTCTTCCAATCCATTCTTAATATTGTAGTTGGAGGAATCTTTCTAGAAATGCAACTCTGGCTCTCTGTTAGCCTCGGAATGAAGTCCAGATTCCTTAGCAAGCCATAGAAAACCCTTCTAAATCTGTGCCCTGCTTACCTCTCCCCATCTTTACTGAAGCCCTCTCTCCACTGTTTCACCATACAATAGGATTGAAATTGTTCTCTGTCTCTGACCAGATCTTGACACATGCTGCTCCTCTGCCTGAAACATCCTTTCAGGCAGTCTCGAACTCCTGACCTCCTGATCCACCCGCCTCAGCCTCCCAAAGTGCTGGGATTACAGGTGTGAACTGCTGTGCCCAGCCACATGTGTCTTTATAGTAGAATGATTTATAATCCTTTGGATGTATACCCAGTAATGGGATTTACCGGCTTTTATAAAAGTTCATCGCTGTATTTCAGTGCCTTGAATGGGACCTGCTACATAATAAGTGCTCAATAAATACCTATTGAATGAAATCTATGATGTATTCTTGAAAAGTTTTCAAACCAAAAATTTCTGAATCAATTAGAGTACCTTTTAAAAAATTTACCGAATTCAGGTCCTTAGAATAGGCTTTTTGTGTGGGTTTTTTTTGTTTGTTTGTTTTGTTTTTTTTCTGAGACAGAGTTTCGCTCTTCTTACCCAGACTAGAGTGCAATGGCGTGATCTTGGCTGACTGCATCCTCCGCCTTCTGGGTTCAAGCGATTTTCCTGCCACAGCCTCCCAAGTAGCTGGGATTGCAGGCCTGTGCCACCATGCCCAGTTAATTTTTGCATGTATTACACCTTTGAGTTAAAATCTGTATCTGGTTGATTAATTTGTAATTTGGTCTGTTGTAGCTTTCTGCTGTTACCAACAGGAAAATGTGGGTCCTGCGAACTATGTGGAATTAAGTGAGTGATGAGAATTCGCAGTTTAGGTAGCTTTAGCCTAACAAATTCATATAAACCTACAGATGATCAGCTCTGTCATCAAGTTAGTAGGAAGAGGAACTTGTATAAGACCTAGGAGAGGCTACTGTGCCTAAACAAGAGGTTTCCCAAGTCTTTTGTAGTCAGCTTGCCCAGAAGGTAGATGTATGGCAGTATCCCATACAACACACCCAACTTCTCAGAAAAGGGAAGTTTAAGACAGAATACCAAATAGAACTTTGCAAGCAAGTTGAAAGTTCTTTTTCAAGTGGAATAAGTTCCCCCAGCATGAAGCCTGATTGAAGGCTGCAAACAGGAACAAATAAGGCAGCCTTTCCTGTGGTTTGTATGACAAATGTGGGCTTTCTCACCTGCCAGAAGAGCTGCCCTACTCCCCACCCCAGAACCACTTTGGTCCTTTATAAAAATTGAAAACACAGAATAATATCATTTCAGAAAATTTTCAAAAATAGAAAATATTACCCACAATGTTAAGATCGTTACTAAGAGCCATTTCCATTCCTGCCGTGTTACCTTCCCGTTCTTTACATGCACCAGAGAAAAGGTTTTGTAATATCTTTCATACTTTATTATCTTCCAAAGTGTGCTTGAGTCTTCAGCATCCCTATTACCATTTTCAGATCACATTCATTAAGCACTATGTACACAGCGTTACATCAGGCACTATATAAAGCAGTGTGAATGGCAATTTCCCTTCATTGCGTTACATGCAAGAGCAAACAACATAGGCCTAGGAGTATTCATTTAACTAAACAGAAAGTTAAAAATATATCAAAGCAAGGCAGTAGAGCAGGTGAACCACTGTATTATCTTTGCTTTTACGTGCGTTTTCTGTACATGATAAGCTTTTTTATTTGGAATTGGAAGATGAAGGGAGGATTGGGGCAATTTGTATCTCACTCAGATTTTTATACGGTATATTATACCATATCTCATCTCCCACAGGGATGGGATATCTTGCATAGAGCTAAGTAGTGCTACTGACAGAGAACCTCAGTTACTTAAGTGGAGACGTAGGGGCAACTTAAATTCTCCTCATCTGAGTTATAGACATTGCCAATGGCAAAACATTTCAGGCAGAGGGGTAGCTCATAAATGAGGAACTTAATGTAAGAAACGATTAGTTCTTCGGCCCTGCGGCTTCTAGTTGTTGGTTTCTTCACAGTTCACTTTCTCTCAGGCTCCACCCCTCTCTCACTGCAGAGAAGAACTTGTTGACAGCAGCTCTGCTTTCTCAAGTCTTGCACAAAGGCAGATGTCTGAAAATTTAGCTTACGCAAAACATCTGTGTGCTTGACTCTGTTCCCACGGTTTGTTTTTCTGTACTGCCCCTCCCCATTTTTTGGTCTTTTTTAAAAACTGAAAATACAGTATAACATCATTTAAGAAAATTTCAAAAAGAAAAAAATCACCTACAATATTACTGTCCTTACTGAGAGCTATTTTCATTCCTGCCATGTTATCTTCCCATACATAGCTTTTTGCCTAGTTATGTCCTTTGTCTTAAGCAGAAGTTCAGATACTTTGTCATAGCCGCTTCCCTGTTTTTTTCCTGGCATTATCTTTTGGTTTTTGGTCTTGAGTTACAGAAAGGGCATTGCAGCTTATCAATCCCTGTCAATGAGTCCTTATTTTTATTTTCCTTTCTGACTTTTAGAACCTAAGTACTCTCATATTTAGAGTATGGCTGAGATCCAACTTTTTATTTTTTATTTATTTATTTTTTTGAGACGGAGTTTCACTCATGTTACCCAGGTTGGAGTGCAATGGCGCGATCTCGGCTCACTGCAACCTCCACCTCCTGGGTTCAGGCAATTCTCCTGCCTCAGCCTCCTGAGTAGCTGGGATTACAGACACACACCACCATGCCCAGCTAATTTTTTGTATTTTTAGTAGAGACGGGGTTTCACCATGTTGACCAGGATGGTCTCGATCTCTTGACTTTGTGATTCACCCGCCTCGGCCTCCCAAAGTGCTGGGATTACAGGCTTGAGCCACCGCGCCCGGCGAGATCCAACTTTTTAAAAGTAACGTATGTGTATAGGATTTCTTAATATGTAAAAACTGCTGTTGTAAATAACTTATTTATTTATTTATTTACTTATTTATTTTGAGACAGAGTCTCGTTCTGTCACCCAGGCTGGGCGGTGCAGTCTTGGCTCACTGCAACCTCTGCCTCCTGGGTTCAAGCAGTTCTCTGCCTGAGCCTCCTGAGTAGCTGGGATTACAGGAGCCCACCACCATGCCCAGCTAATTTTTGGGGTTTTGTTTGTTTGTTTGTTTGTTTGAGATGGAGTCTCTCTCTGTCACCAGGCTGCAGTGCCAGAGTTCGGTGGTGCATCTCAGCTCACTGAACCTTCAGTTCCCTGGTTCAAGCGATTCTGCTGCCTCAGCCTCCCGAGTAACTGGGATTACAGGCATGTGCCAGTACGCCCAGCTAATTTTTGTATTTTTAGTAGGGATGGGCTTTCACCATGTTAGCCAGGATGGTCTCAATCTCCTGACCTCGTGATCCACCCGCCTCAGCCTCCCAAAGTGCTGGGATTACAGGCGTGAGCCACTGCGCCCAGCCTTACAAATTACATTGACTTTCAAGAAACATTACAATGCTCACTCAAGGACAGCCTCATTTAGAAAAAACATGTCTACACTTTTCTGCCCTTTGTTGAGTTGAAAGCCTCATTTCTCCCAATACCTGACTAATCTTGTTAGTAACAGTGTTTCACTTGTAACTGGTTGTCTGTCTGTTCAGAGCTTACCCTTTGTCTTCTTAAGGGTGAATAAGGACACATCCATGTCTCCTCATTATTTTCCTTTTCTTGTTTGACAAAAAGAACAAAATGGCCCATGTTTCCTTGTTTTGGTAGAAAGTTTGCTATTGAATATCTTCAGCCATCTTCCTTTCAGAAACCATAATCCCCTATACTTAGACATTTGAAGGGTGGACCTGTGGTGGGTAGGGTCCCCTGATGACTTAGGAAGTCTGCAGGACTTACATACAGCTTTGCTAGCTGTCTTACTGTGTGAGAAAACAAAAGACTCTCAGAATTGTAGCTTTCCTTCCAATCATTGCAGAGAAATTTTGCCTTTAGTAGTAAAACTGGTGGTTAAAAGTGTTTCCTTTTTCCCTTGTTTTCCTGGGCCCTAAGTTGCCATTGGGGTAAGATATGGGACCTAGCTCAACCAAGACCTGAAAGCAATCCAGGACGCAAGTATGGGGTTGTACTGCAATGTCTGTTCCTACACTAGAGCAAATATATAATGAATCTTAACTTCTTTCCTCCAATACATTTAAAACACATATGAAAATTAAATTTACTCTTGGATCATTTTGGTTAAGATAGTTTTCTCTTTTTCTAAACCCTAACTAAAATGTTTGGAATTACCATTATTTCACACTGCACGTAGAGTTCTGCAAAATACTACTGTGTGATCTCTTTGTCCCCAGCTCTCCAAGAGCTGTGGATCATTGTGTCTTCATGAATTTACTTTAAAATGTGCATTTAGTGAATTTGAACTGTTAAACATTGGATTGGACATCAAGAAAGCTCAGTAAATTAAATTTGCAAGAAACCAGTAGAGTGAATTTTTCATCTGTAACGGTGGTACAATTCTGTAGTGATTCAGTAAGGGAAAAAAAGTAGGAAGCAGGGAACATTGGATTGGTGAAAAATTGTGAGGTAATTAAGGATAGTGACTTCTACTTGCTTTCTCTTTTCCCTTTCCCTTGACAGCTCTACATTGTCCTTTGGACTTTGGCTTTTGCTATTTTTTTCTCCTCCTCCTATTCGTCTCCCTCCTGATCCTCCTCCTTCATCATCATTAATGTTGTTGTTGTTATTATTATTTACAAAAGTTAACTGCTTTTGCAAGTGTCAGAACCTAAGCACTGGCAGCAGTGCCCTTCCTAGATTTCATTTGTGCATTAGTGGATGGCCGAAGGGATCTATAATATGCATTTAAACAGTTACAAAAAGAAGAATTTGCCCAGGGACTTTAAAAAGTCAGGCAGTCCAGTGATGGTAAAGAAAACCAGGCAGTAGATTTAAAAGAGATTCAACATACTTTGTCATGCCTTTCTCTATTTCCTGTAGTTTGATATTTGGGAACTAGTAACTTTGAGGAACTTTTAAGAGGTCCTACTGGCAACGTATTTTTTATGTTTAGCCTAGAAAGGTAGAAAACAACTATGGAAAAGATGGTTTGATAAGGAAAATTGATAAACTGGTATTTCACACATGGAGTTCACTTTTTGTGGCCAGTGAATTTTGAGAATTACTTGTAAGGCTGCAATAAAGTAGCACTGAACTGACTTAATTTTTTTTTTTTTTTTTTTGAGACGGAGTTTCGCTCTTGTTACCCAGGCTGGAGTACAATGGCACAATCTCGGCTCACCGCAACCTCCGTCTCCTGGGTTCAGGCAATTCTCCTGCCTCAACCTCCTGAGTAGCTGGGATTATAGGCACGCGCCACCATGCCCAGCTAATGTTTTGTATTTTTAGTAGAGACTGGGTTTTACCATGTTGACCAGGATGGTCATCTCCTGACCTCGTGATCCACCCGCCTCGGCCTCCCAAAGTGCTGAGATTACAGGCGTGAGCCACTGCGCCCGGTCTCAGTTTTTTAAATAACAACAACAACAACAACAACTCCATGGTGTTCCAGTATTTGAGAATTCACTTTTAGAACCTTATTGGTACATGGGTGGATAAGCTACAATGCAACTGCATTGTATGCTATAGAAGCCAGGGAGTGGTGTTTTAAACAAAAACAACAAAACTTGAAAATAAGCCTATAGGCCAGGCTTGGTGGCTCACACCTGTAATCCCAGCACTTTGAGAGGCGGGCGAATCACCCGAGGTCAGGAGTTTGAGACCAGCCTGGCTAAAGTGGCGAAACCCCATCTCTATTTTAAAATTACAAAAATTAACTGGGTGCAGTGGCAGGCACCTGTAATCCCAGCTACTTGGGATGCCAGGGCAGGAGAATCACTTGAACCCAGGAGGCAGAGGTTGCAGTGAGCCGAGACTGCACCATTGCACTCCAGCCTGGGTGACAAAAGCAAAACTCTGTCTCAAAAAAAAAAAAAAAGAAAAGAAAATAGACCTACATTTCCACCCCTACTCTGTCATTTACTAATTGTGTAATTGGTAAGCTCAAGCAGGTTACTCTCAAAACCTTTGTTTTCTCACCTGTGAAATAGGAAGAAGGACTTCTGTTCATGGAGTTATTGTAGATAGTGGTTGTAAAGTACTAGGCATCATGCCTAACACAAGGTGGGTACTCAATAAATGATAGTTACAAAGTCCCCCCCCCTTTTTTTTTTCTTTTTTTTTAAAAAAAAAAAAAGACAGAGCCTTGCTCTGTTGGTTAGGCTAGAGTGGCACAATCTTGGCTCACTGCAACCTCTGCCTCTCTGGTTAAAGTGATTCTCCTGCCTCAGCCTCCCTAGTAGTGGAATTACAGGCCTGTGCCACCACACCTGGTAGAGATGGGGTTTCGACATATTGGCCAGGCTGGTCTCCAAACTCCTGACCTCAGGTGATCCGCCTGCCTTAGCCTCCCAAAGTGCTGGGATTACAGGCATGAACCACTATGCCCAGCCCAAACTCCTCTTTAAGTGTTTTTTTGTTTTTGTTTTTTGAGATGGAGTCTCACTCTGGTGCCCAGGTTAGAGTACAGTGGTGTGATCTCGGCTGACTGCAACCCCTGCCTCCCAGTTCAAGCAATTCTCCTGCTTCAGCCTTCTGAGTAGCTGGGATTACAGGCGCATGCCACCACTCCAGCTGACTTTTGTTTTTTAGTAGAAACGGGGTTTAACTATGTTGGTCAGCCTGGTCTCAAACTCCTGACCTCGTGATCCTCCCGCGTCAGCCTCCCAAAGTGCTAGGATTACAGGCGTGAGCCACCATGCCCAGCCTCTTTAAGTTTATTTCACAGTGCTCAAAGCCAGCACCTAACTGCTGCTACCAACCATCACACAACTCCCAAGAGAACATTTTGATGGACATGCCATTGTAACAGATTCTAAGTTTTTACAAATGGAAGTTTGTGAAGTAATGTTAAAATTCTTGCCATTATAAACAATAGTTGTCCAGTAGGCAGTTGATTATATAGGTCTGGGGCTCTGATGATAGATCTGATCTTTTAGAGAGCCAGTGGTTGTGGCAGCCAGCCTCCAGGGTGGTGCATAGTGGTTGTTGCCTCCCAATATTGCTATCTTTGTGTTAGTCCCCTTCTACAGGAAATAGGGCTGAGCTATATTACCAATATGATGTTGCAGAAATTATGATGTGTGTCCTCCAAAATTAAATCACAAAAGTATTGTTCTGCTACCTTGTTCTCCCTGGGATCACTCATTCTGGAGAAGGCCAGCTGCCCTGTCATAAGGGCACTCAGGCAGCCCAGAGGAGAAATTTGCATGGCAAAGAACTGAGATCTCCTCTCAGCAGCCATGTAAATGAGCCACCTTGGAAACAGATCCTCCAGTCCCAGTCTAGGCTTCAGATGACTGCAGTTGCATAAGAGACCCTAAGCCAGAACCACCCAGCTAAGCTGTTCCTAAATTCCTGATTCTCAAAAACTGTGTGAGATAATAAATGTTTTTTGTTGTTTTCGGCTTTTAAGTTTTAGGATAATTTGCTGTGCATCAGTAGATAACTAATCAGGAGTCATCAGCATATAGGATGATGATGACCATAGTATGGATGAAGACATTCAGAAGAGTAATATAGAACAAGGAGAGGAGTGGTGATGAAATCATGGAAGACGTCATATTTAAGAAGTTGGCAAAAGCATTGCAGCCCACAAATGAGAATGTGAAGGAATAGCCAGAAACACAGAAAGAATAATAAGAAAATTTCAAGAAGGTGGATGGTTGTTAACAATATCAAATGATCAAGCATTTGATAAGGACTGAGAAAATGTTCATTGGATTTTCCAAGCAAAAGAAAATCCCAATTACAGTGTATTGAAAAGTGAATTACAGACAAGGAAGTAGAAACATTGAAACCCTACACCACTTGCCTTTCTCTGCCTCTTTTCATTTTCTGCCACTCATTGTTGGCTCACAACATTTCAATGCTCCTGACCTCCCTGCAAATTCCCAAGCTAGCCAGTCACACTTCTGCCTCAGGGCCTTTGCATCTGCTGCTCCCACTACCTTTTTTCAGATGGGGTCTTGCTATGTTGCCCAGGCTGGTTTTAAAATCCTGGGCCCAAATGATCCTTCCACCTTATCCTCCAGAGTAGCTGGGATTACAGGTGCATACCACCATGCCCAGCTCCCCCCACTGCCTTTAATGTTCTTTTTCCAAACAGCTGCATGGCTCCCTCCCTGATTCCTACAGATCTCTTGTTGAAATGTCAGCTTAGTGAAGAGATTTTTTTCTGCCATATCTTATAACACAAGCAAGTTTACACAATAGCACTCCCTGTTGCTTTTTCTCTACTTCATTTTTCTCCATAGCACTTACCACGAGCTCATGTCTAAAGTGGCAGCCACTGCTTTTCTCTGGCCAGTTGTTGCTAGATGGACATGTGTGTTCAAATTTCATGATTTTTCAAAAGAAGCTGGATTTTTAAGTACAATTAATTGTCAATGGGCCGAGAGCTGGCTCACACCTATAATCTCAGCACTTTGGGAGACAAGGCAGGAGGATACTTGAGTCCAGAAGTTCTAGCCCAGCTTGGACAACATAGTAAGACCTCATCTCTGCAAAATATTAAAAAATTAGCCAGGCATGGTAGCACACACCTAGAGTCCCAGCTACTCAGGATGCTGAAGTGGCAGGATCACTTGACTTGAGGTTGAGGCTGCAGTGAGCCGTGAACACACCATTGCCCTCTAGCCTGGGTGAAAAGCGAGACCCTGCCTGAAAAAAATATTGTTAATAAATTTATGTTTCAAAGCACTGTGAAGGTCAAACAGACTCTTTGGTTTTATTTGTTTGTTTGTTTTTGAGACAGAGTCTCTCTCTGCCACCAGGCTAGAGTGCAATGGCGCCATCTCCACTCACTGCAACCTCCGACTCCCTGGTTCAGGCAATTCTCCTGCCTCAGCCTTCTGAGTAGCTGGGATTACAGGCACACGCCACCATGCCCAGCTAATTTTTGTATTTTTAGTAGAGACAGGGCTTCACCATGTTGGTCAGGGTAGTCCTGAATCCCTGACATCGTGATTTGCCTGCCTTGGCCTCCCAAAGTGGTGGGATTACAAGTGTGAGCCACCACACCCAGCCAACAGACTGACGGTCTGTTTTAAGGGCAATGGATAGGGTAGGGTTACTGACAAAAGATACGGAACTAGAATGGTCAGAGAGATACCAGATGTACTTAGTGTTTTAGAAACTGAGGAGAGCAGGGGCAGGGTCATCTCAAAAAGGAGAAAGTGATTTGCTGGTACACATCAGGTATTAAATGAAGAGCAGAAATTGATGCTAAGCTGAGTTTGTCCTTGGGATCTATCACTTGGGAAATCATTGGCAAACTTAGAGTGGGGGAGGAGTTTCAGAGAAGTGATGAGACAGAAGCAAGATGGCAGTGGGTAGAAAAAATGACTGGCAAGAGAAGAAAATGGTGACAGCAAGTATAGACTTTCTCCTTAATAAAGAGAACTTAGAAGAGAACACAGGATCAAGTTAAGATTTGGGGGCATGGAGGTTGTTTTCCTTTAAGGAAAACAGACCAGACTTGAGCATGTTTCCAAGCTGAGGAGTAGTAGTCACTAGAGAGAGAAAACTAGGAGATGAGGGAATGGGACCAAGGACACAGGTGGCAGCTGGATGTATCATTCTCTCATATTGGAGAAAGGAGATAAGACTGCAGGTGAGAGAAAGTAACTGAGAGAAATCACACTAGCTAACCTCCATTTTCTTTGTGGTATAGAAGGCCAAGTTAACAGTGGAAAGGAATAGGAGAGGGAGCTGTCCAGAGCTGTTAAGTGCCCGGCTGAGTAAAGTCAGTGTTGTTGCCGTCATCTCAGATATCCTTGCACTGAGCCCGTGAATGTGCTGTGGCATCCAGAGGCATGGTTCCTTATCTTCTTAAGTGTTTGGCTGCCTTTCTCTCATTTATTCCATGTATAATTACTAAACATTTAGTGTCAAGTACTGTGCTAAACATTAGAGAGATAACATCAGACGAGTTAAAGTTTCTGCTCTCTGGGAGCTTACTGCTTAAACAGATAATAGTAACATCAAATAACCATATCATTTTAAGCAGTAGCATTATGAAGGGAAATCAGGAGCAAAAATAGACTGTGGGGAAACCAGTTAAGAAATAGGACATGGGACTAGGTTGGTTAGGGAGGAAAGAAAAGCCAAAAGGAGGTTGATAGCCTAGAAAAAGTTGAGGAATCGGGATGAGGAGTCTCCCTCATCTTGAAGAGGGAGTGAACACACAGGAATTATAAGGAGAAGGAATTGTAATCAGAAAGTGAGAGTTTAGTTTCTGAAATTAAGACCATCAAGAACGCATGCCTTCCAGAGGGACCCTATGAATTAGAAGTCTAAAAGGAGAAAAGGTCTTTAAAGACTAAGAGGATGAGAAATTTTGAGACAAAATTGTTGGATTTTCATCTGTATGAACACTGTAATATCTTTTTTTTTCTTTTATTTATTTATTTTTTTGAGATGGAGTTTCGCTCTTGTTGCCCAGGCTGGAGTTGCCCAATAGCACTATCTCAGCTCACCGCAACCTCTGCCTCCCAGGTTGAAGTAATTCTGCCTCAGCCTCCCAAGTAGCTGGAATTACAAGCATGCGCCACCATGCCCAGCTAATTTTGTATTTTTAGTAGAGACAGTGTTTCTCCATGTTGGCCAGGCTGGTCTCGAACTCCTGACCTCAGGTGATCCACTTGCCTTAGCCTCCCAAAGTACTGAGATTACAGACGTGAACCACAGTGCCTGGCCACACTGAAATATTTCAAGATTATTGTAAGAATTAGGGAAAGAAGAGAAGATTGGACAAAATAAGGAATAAATAAAAGAGTGACAAGGATATCAGAAGGTAACAGCACCAAAGAACAGAGGGTGACCTTAGCCTCAAAGACACATTACCAAGCATGAAAGACAAATGGTCTGAAAGCAGGGTTTGACACTTTGACCAAATGCTTGAAAGCCTAATTTGCATTTCTTCTGCAGTTGTGTTTTTAAATACCTGGGAAGTCATTTGTTGAATCATGCAAATGAAATTATTTTTCAAATGCTGAACAGTTTTTCTGAGTTAATCTCCTTCTATTTTGTTTTTTTCCTAACTATTGGGTGCCATGTCGTGGTTACTAAGAGACGTGACCAACATGTCTCTTAGTAACCAAGACATCCAGCATTTTAAATACTGAGAAAGAACTTTTCAGGTCATTTACTTTCGGGGCCAGATAGCTTTTAAATTTTTCCATTTTGAAAAAGTATTTAAATCTAGAGTTTAGGGCTACAGAACCAAGAAGCTTTGTTGATTCAGTCTGTAAGGGAACTGGGTTCCTTTGAGCTGAGGCAGTTTCTCCTGTCTTTGGAGGAGGACCTTCTCAAAATCAAAACTCCCCACCACTGTCAGTCACCAGAAGGCCCAGGGTCAGTTGTGTATTGGGAAGTTGCTTGAGGCCAGTTCCTTTCCTGGGCACCTAGGTTTTCTCTTTTCTGTTTTTGCTTGTGGGTGAGGGAGGCGAGGGTTATTTTTGGATGGTGGCTGGAGGCAAGACTGAGGCTGAGCCTTGTTAAGGTGGCTGGCTGCACAGAGAGGGAGACAAGAAGAGAACAGTGGTGTCATGAGAAGGTCTGGGTCTTAGCTCACACTCAGAAGGGTTTTTTAGCAATGCTGCTTGGTGTAAGTCCAAGAATGGTGGCTATCTGGAAGAATGAGACAGTGTGTGTTCTTCTCAAAGGTATTCAGAAGTCAAAATTATTTTAGATCTGTGTTTGGTCTCACAAGACATGTGGTGAATTAAGCCCACCTGCTTCCATTTGGCGCCCTGCCTTAGACTCCCTAAAGGCCCTCCAGCTCTGATCTGTTATGATTTGGTAGTGCTTTAAAACTCAAACCAAAAGCTAGAAGCATTAAATCTCTGAAAGGAGGTCAAATGAGTGTGTGGCCAGACAGCACCTAAAAGAAAAGTCTTTTGGTCTTAGAGAAGACTGAAGAGGAACCAGGGAGAGAGAGGGCAGGCATCCACTTCCTTTCCCATGTGAGCTTTTTGCCTTCCTTTCTAGGCCCCATGGTCTTCCTAACTTTTCATTTCTACACCTAGTTTTTGATATTATTAAAGCAACATTTAAAATCCAAGAAATTTACTAAAGGAAAAAGAAGTAATCTTAAGAGACAGCATGAAAGTATTTGCCTCACTGGAATAGTTTGAATTTTTCCCCACTTAGACCTGAACTTTGTCTTCAGGATTCTATGAAAAATAGAACAAATGGCTGGACACAGTGGCTTACGCCTGTAATCCAGGAACTTTGGGAGGCTGAGGTGGGCGGATCACCTGAGGTCAGGAGTTCGAGCCCAGCCTGGCCAACATGGTGAAACCCTATCTCTACTAAAAATACAAAAAAATTAGCTAGGCATGGTGGCGGGTGCCTGTAATTCCAGCTATTTGGAAGGCTGAGGCAGGAGAATCTTTTGAACCCAGGAGGCAGAGGTTGCAGTGAGCTGAGACCACACCATTGCACTCCAGCCTGGGCAACAGCACGGGACTCCATCTCAAAAAAAAAAAAAAAAAAAGAAAGAAAGAAAGAAAAAGAAAAATAGAACAGACATCACACCAAGCTTTGCAGTGAAATCCTGCCTTTGTTCTCTTCAGATGAACTGACCAGCAGTGTTTTTAATTGCTAGTTGTTTCATACTGTTATTTAGCTATATGTCCTGTTGTAGTAACATCTAACACAGAACAAAGGGTTAAAGTGCTGCCCAGAGTATCAGATGACATGGGGGCTTAAGCCTGGCCCTGCTGCTAACTAGCTATGTGATTTTAAGGTAAATCAGTAAATTCTCTGGGCTTCAGTTGATATATCAGATTCTCTGTTGCAAGCTCGGAAATGATTTTTTTTTTTTTTTGAGACAAAGTCTCACTCTGTTGCCCAGGCTGGGGTGCAGTGACACGATCTCTACTCACTGCAACATCTGCCTCCCGGGTTCGAGCGATTCTCCTGCCTCAGCCTCCTGAGTAGCTGGGATTACAGGCACCCACCACCACACCAGCTAATTTTTTAATTTTTAGTAGAGATGGGGTTTCACCATGTTGGCCAGTCGGGTCTCAAACTCCTGACCTCAAGTAATCCACCCGCCTAAGCCTCCCAAAGTGCTGGAATTACAGGCATGAGCCACCGCGTCTAGCCAGAAATGAATTTTAACTGTCATAAGTAAAATATTTGTCAGAAAGATGTCAGACATCCTAATGGATGGGAGGCTAGAGGACCAAACTTAGAGAACAGATATATGAAAGGAAAATAATCTCAAAATCATCCCCCAAATCATCACCAAGCCAAAGGGAAAAGTCAAGCTGGGAAGTGCTTAGGGCAAATCTGCCTCCTGTTCTATTCCTAAAAAAGATAGCTACCAAGATTTTTTAAAGCTACATAGCTCCCTCACAAGGAATTTCCTTGTGGACAAATGACAGACGGAACTCAAAGATATCCCTCCTCTGCTCAGTAGCATAAATGCATACCTGATTGCCTTCTTTGGAAAGGCGAATCAGAAACTCAAAAGAATGCAACCATTTGTCTTTTATCTACCTATGACCTGGAAGTCCCCTCACTGCTTCAAGTTGTCTTGCCTTTCCTGACAGAACCAGTGTACATTTTTCATATGTTGATTGATGTCTCATATCTCCATAAAATGTATAAAACCAAGCTGTGCCCCTACCACATTGGGCACATGTCATCAGGACCTCCTGAGGCTGTGTCACGGGCATACATTCTTAACTTTGGCAAAATAAACTTCCTAAATTGACTGAGACCTATCTCAGATATTTAGGGTTCACAGGAAAGAGCTAGGGTCATTCAGGGAAGACCAGGGAGCAGGAGTAGACTGGCCCATACCTCGAAACTCTCCCCATGTATCCAAAGCAGTAGGAAAAATGGGGTATGGTCCCAGGGTAGTTTCCAGGGGAGATTCAGAGTCCAAGGGGAGAGTTTCCAACTGGCCAGATGTAAGCCACGTTCCAGCTTCCTACAAAACCCCTTACAGTTCCAGAGTGGGAGGCCGCCAAAACCATATTTGAATGGATTCCCCAAAAGCAGAGTAGGATGATGGTGAAAAAGAGAAATCTATTGCTGAACAGCCACAAACAGCAAATGTCAAAGCAGATGTGCCCCATCTGTAAAAACTGGAAGGTTGAATTGTATGACCAGTGGTAAAATTATTGATTTTAAATTATGTTTCTATCAGACATTTCTAAGATGCACAAGGTTGGGGCAAAAATAGAATAACAAGATCTTATCAGTAAATGAACATTCAAAATGAACAGAACAAGTAATTTTGGTTTTTTGTTTTGTTTTGGCCTTCCATTTAGGCCGGTAGTGAAAAGACCACAAAGTTTCGTCCTGATTGGAATTTGTCTCTCAGTCTTGAACAAACAGATCCTTTTTCCCCCTTCAGTTGTAGGAAAGGAGAAAAACAAATAGCTGCATCTGAGTATAGTTGTGCTGGGCATTGTGCAACAGGGTTCAAGTGGAAGACTAGGAGGGACTAAGTCTGATGGTTATTGTTAATCAGTAAGAACCAGAGTCCTAAGCCCTTCTCTGCTTTGGCCAGTAATTTGTCTACTCATGTGGTCCAGTCTCTGCTTGTCTGCTGATAAGTAGAGAAATAATCCTGACACTTGGATTCAGAGGCATGTTTCTGGGAAGTTAATGCCCTCAGGGAGAGAGTTCCAGGTATGGCTGGGCATTCTAATGTTGAATGTTTGGTCATGCTGCAGGAGTAGGGTGAGAATATTTAATTACAGAGAACAGTATGATATTTGGGTTTGGATTTTCTCTTGTTGTATTCTAAATTCTTTAGGATTACAGAGTCACATTTTCTTCACTACCTAGAGGTATACTTTTAACTTTTGCAGCCAGGTTGCATACATCAAGGCACAATTACTTTTTCCTTACTGTTTTGGGGGTTTGGCCAGATTTTTTCCATTAGGCATTAGTATTGATGGTTGTGTAGTTCCTTGACCTCTGGTCTGATATTTAAAACTTTTTATTATGAAATTCTTTGTCTGTGCGATGTGGTCACATCAAGTGAGAACATGAATTCCTTTCCATGTAGTGGGGTTGACAGAAGCTGTCCTAGCAACCTTGAATCTGAAAATTAAACAAGTAAGCAGAAAAGCTTATCAGGTGGGGAAGAATATTGGGAGGGTACAATGTATTTGAAAGATTCCACTAGATATTCTTCAAGACAAAAGCATGAGTTCAAATTATGTGTAGTACTTGAATTTAACATAAATACCAACCGGCTCACCTTGTGCAGTAATATTGCATGCAGTCAATAGTACATAATGATTTGCCTACAAATTTTGGCTTCAAGCAGAAATGCCAAACCTACTCCAGAGTTTTGCATTACAAACATTATGAACATAAAAATCTGCTTTGTTCATTTTAGTATTAAAAGTATAACATCTACTTTCTGCAACTTGATTTCTCATAGTCAGTGAGCCATTTCTTCTTATGTATGTTGCATGTAGAACAGAATAATTTCTGGCCAACTGACATTCAGCAGTTAGGCCAGGTGTGTTGTTGCTTTGTTTTGCTTCCTTGACCTTCCTGCTGGTCATGGATGATCACCCTGGTCACATTCCTCAAAGATTATTTCAACCTCAGAATAGTTAAATATTTTCTTCCCTTAGTTGACCTTTTCTTCCACACTTTGCCTGAGAAAAAACTACCAGTTAACAAATGTCATACTTTAGGAAATGATTTTGATCAGAAGGGATTGGCACAGAGTACTTCCCCAAATACATTTAAAGCCAACTACTCTTTCCTCCATTTTTTGAGACTAAGATGCCACTGTCATTTCCAATAGATACTACAGTTTGCTCACTGTCCAGCCCAACTGGATTCATCTCTCAGACATGGTCTTTATCCCCCTCAGTATAGTCTTTATGTTTATGGCCTTGCTAGGAAGGTGGTGGGGAAAATAAGAGTTGGAATCCGAATGGATGTCAGCACTTTTCTCACTCCTATATTCTACTTGGGTTTTTTTTTTTTTTTGGAGACCCAGGCTAGAGTGCAGTGGCACCGTCTCGGCTCACTGCAACCTCCGCCTACAGGGTTCAAGCAATTCTCCTGCCTCAGCCTCCCAAGTAGCTGGAACTGCAGGCACCTGCGACCACTCGCAGCTAATTTTTTGTATTTTTAGTAGAATTTTTTGTATTTTTAGTTTCACCATGTTAGCCAGGAGGGTCCTGATCTCCTGACCTCATGATCCATCTGCCTTGGACTCCCAAAGTGCTGGGATTACAGGTGTGAGCGACCATGCCTGGCCTTTTTTTTTTTAAATGAAGTTTTCACTCTGTTGCCCAGGCTGGAGTCCAGTGGCATGATCTTAGCTCACTGCAAACTCCGCCTCCCAAATTCAAACAATTATCTTGCCTCAGCCTCACGAGTAGCTGGGATTACAAGTGTGTGCCACCATACCTGGCTAATTTTTGTATTTTCAGTAGAGACGAGGTTTCGCCATGATGGCCAGGCTGGTCTCAAACTCCTGGCCTCAAGTAATCCGCCCTCCTTGGCCTCCCAAAGTGCTGGGATTACAGGCGGGAGCCACCACACTCAGCCTCTACTCTACTTTTAAATTCTATTCTGTTGAAAAGGTGTGTAGGGAAGATATTGTATTTCATCCATCAAAAACTATATCATAAAATGAAAACATCGTAGAGAAGGATTCAGAGCATGAGCTTTCAAGTCAAATCTTGATTTGAATCCTTGCCCTGAGGCTTACTAGCTGTATGATTGATTTTAGACAAGTAACTTATGATCTCTGAGTCCCTCAGTCTCTTACACGTTTATTGGGGGTAAAAATAGTACCTACTTTGGGATAACACTGGGATAAATGCCTGATGTAGGTGAC